TTTGTTCTTATTTTATTATTAACTGCTTAGCCTCCTTGTCATTTTTTATTCAATTCAAAGTTTTAAATCAAGCTATCTCGTGCTACTGCAACAAAATTACCCAGCTGTAAAATCAAAACTTTGTTTAATTACCATTATAACTATCTCACAATGTTTACATATGAATAAAAGCCTACATTAAAATCTGTCATATAAATTGGTCTCTTCATTAGAAATTAACCTACTGATTTTTGTATTCTTGTATGACATTATATTCTGCAATATATAATTGTATGACATTATATTCTGCAGTTCTTCTCTGTTGTACCAAATACTATACTTTTCAAATTAATCATATCGAAGTTAGAAATTCAAATATTGTGACCAAATTAATTTTGTAGGGTGCCACAAATTTGTAAAAATTTCCAAAGGGTGCTGCGACTAAAGAAAGGTTGGGAAACACTGATTTAGAAGACGAAAACCAAACAAAGTTAAGTCTGACACAGAGAAAGGGACCGATGGCCGGCCAGCCGGGGTTCGTCTTTATTTAAATTTATGTGTGTGTACTTCTAACATGTTTGGTTGGTAAAATAAATGTTGTAAATTCAAATCAGAGCGTCTTCCGTGTCTGGAATGGATGTATTCTTGAGTCTATAAGGTAACAATAATATAATAAGATAACCTTGTTTGAAATGGGTTTGGCTAAAATAAAATTTTGGTTTCGTCTATACTACTAGGTACTTATACTATATTGACTGGGTTAAATAGAATTGCATTTATAAAAAGAGACTAAAATACAATTTTCATTGACTAAAACTACTTGCATAAAGTTTAATAGGTATACAAAACTGGAAATAAGTAAACGTATAATATATAACCAAATAAATAAGAAACGTAGAACGTTTATTAGCAAAACGAATGTCAAATAAAATAAATGACACCGTTTAAATAAAGTAAAAATCAGCAAACAATGTGGAACCAATTAAATAAGAAACAAATGCTTAAAACCCCTTAACTGTCACTCACGTTTTTGAACATAGACTTAAATTTGTATAATTCATGAACGAAAACATTTTGTAACATGATATTGATGTACCATTTTCATGGTAATGCAATGTTTGATTTTAAAATGGGTTTCAAAGATGAATTTTGAGATTTAAAGTTTTCAATTGATCTATAATTTCTGATGATTTCTGAAGTGTGATAGAGAAAAAGGCAACGAAGAAGACTTTTTTTGACAAAGGTCAGAACTCCTGTTATGATGTAGATTTTTGAGGTGCACTCTAGTCAAAAATTAATCTATTACTTTTCCTACATAATTTTTAACAAAAACATTGGTAAAATATCTATTTAGGAGTCTTAGACCTTTCCAACGATATATAGTTTGTCATGATTAGATTAGGATTTAATTGTAATATAGTGAAGTAAACTTAGGCGTCCCACAGAGGGGACGGGTGACAGTTAAAGGGTTAAAAAAACTTCCAATATCACCTTAGATAAACGGCAAAGGTCAACAGGCTTTTCAAAATCCAAAATATTGCCAAACAGGCTTTTGCATCTAGTTTCGAAACTAAATCCGCCGCCATCGTCTTTTCTGTCTCACCTCACTCTTCTTGTCAGTCAGCTCGACTCACTCTCCTCACTGGATAAATTAAATCTGATCTGTGATGCGACTGTCGTTCGGCACGCTGCATTGAGTAGCCGTGTTCAGTTTTTAATTGTAGTGTCTGTTCTTTTACAGAACTAAATGATTTTTATTACTATAAAAATAATAATCGGTGACGCGGTGGGCAAGTGACATAACCGGTGTTGCGGCTTAAAACCGGTATCACCGTCAGCACCGTCTATCGCGGCAAGCCTATAGTATACCAATTGTTTATATTTGATATAAAATAAACATTTTATAAAATATGTTGCACTCTAAAATTGCTATAAAACCAAAGCTATATGTCGAACCGATTTACGTTCCGAATTTGAAGTTGATATCCCAAAAATTGTGGTTCCTGTGAGATTTTCTTTGGGCACTATACCAAAAACAACCACTGGGTGACACCCAAACTCTATTGAATTATTCTAATGCAGTTTTCTGTCACAAATCAATCATTTTCTGTCACAATATGACTTATATTACAAAACAGCCCCCAAATATGGAATCTTGACTGTCAGACCTTTCCAACAACATGCGTTTTGTCAAGATTACAAAAAGATTTGATGTTCGAAAACACAAGCCACAAAGTCACAGTCTATGTTTGTTTTATATCTGGATTTATACCCCTAAAAGGGCGACGTATCCCCTGAGATACAAACATTTAGAGACAGATTACAAAAAAATAAGCATTTAATTTATAAAATTACAATGCAAACCTAATAAGCTAACGCTGAACAACAGCTTTTTAAACCGGCAAGTCCCCTCCAACGTGTGTAAATATGTGAACTAGATCAACTTTTATCGGAGGGTGAGTAGATTTCCCACTACAGGCGGCCATGCAGTTTTAAATGCTTCCTGTGAGCTAAACAAAGAATGGAGACACAAAAGTCACCTTTAAAGTGAAAGTGACGTGACATGTGGCCAAGTATGGTGACCCATACTCGGAATTAGTGCTCTGCATTTATCCCATCCAAAGTGGACACACACAGCAGTGAACACACACCCGGAGCAGTGGGCAGCCATTTATGCTGCGGTGCCCAGGGAGCAGTTGGGGGTTCGGTGCCTTGCTCAAGGGCACCTCAGTCATGGTATTGAAGGTGGGAGAGAGCGCTGTACATTCACTCCCCCCACCTACAATCTGCCGGTACGAGACTTGAACCCGCAATTTTTGGGTTACGAGTCCGACTCTCAAACCATTAGGCCACGACTTCCCCAAAGACCTCATCTAAATATTCACAATAAACACCCTTTCAAGATGAAACCAAGAAATAAGACCTACGCTTTTACGGTTTCTCCCCACAGCTTTTCAAATGTTTGTATCCCCCAGGATACGTCACCCATTTTAGGGTTCATTTTTAAATTAATGAAAAAAACAATTAATTGATCTCAAAACAATTACTTGCGAATCGCAACATAATGCACTTATATTCCAATCACATATTGTCAACCAAGAACTGCATTTCTCTGGGATTCGGAATTAGTAGCATATTAAACAACAAAACTGTCAAACACACAAAAACTAAAAAGTTTGAAGGCTCAAGGGTTTAAAAGAAGAAACACTCACATATTTATGAAAGAAAATATGGTCATTTTCATCATAGGCTATCTTTAAATAGGGCAGAATTAAATTAGAGGCATAGCATTATGTCTCAAGCGGGTGGCGGTTGTGTCACCTCTCAGTCCCAGGGTGGAATTCGGATAGTAGTGAAGGCCTGCGGCGCTGCTGGTCCTGCAGAGGGGTACGGTAGTCGGGTACCGGGAACTCCTGAACAAACACAGACACACACATCAGAGAAGAAACACTAGGCAAAACAAAAGCACAAGGACCTCATGGATGAGGACTCGGAAGCCTTAAAGACAAGTGGGAAAAAAGACAAATAGTGTGTATCTATGTGAGAAAGAACGGGATAGAGAGAAAAAAAATACACTGTGACAAGACAGCCTCCCCAGACAGTCAAGAACACATCAGCACAAGTCTGTTTTACATTCTGGTAGAACATGGCATCATAAAACACGGACATAGAGCTATCTGTAACACATTCACTGCTATAGAAGAGATGATCATCAAACCTTCAATTCACCATTCCATTAGAAAACCACAGACACCATCAACGCAGGACCGAGAACAGCTCAGCAACCGAAGCTGCCATGTGCGAGTCATTTCTTGAAGCTGGTTTACTCTCAGACTAAAGTTCAGTTTTAAAGAACCAGGAAAAAAAAAAAAAAAAACTTTAACAACAGCAAGCTAAAGAATTATTTCCATTATCAAACGTGGCACTATCAAGTGTTATAGCACTCCTGCATCACAATTATACAGTGCAAATTTTACATTAAAAACTCACCAGTCATGGGTTCTTAGAACAACTACTTGGTTTTAAGTAATTGCTGTTTGAATTAGGCTAGCTATGATCATGTATATGGATATTGTCATTTGTACACTTGATCAGATACATTTCTGAGAAATACACTACCATTCAAAAGTTCGGGTTTCGCATAAGTCTCTTATGCTCATCAAGACTGCATTTATTTGACCAAAAAATGCAGTTAAAACAGTAATATTGTGAAATACTATTAAACGTATTAAAATTATTACACACATTTTTATTTTAAATATTAATAATTTATTCCTTTGATTGCAAAGCTAAATTTTCACCAGTCTTAAGTCTCACATGATGCTAAAATGCTGATTTGGTCCTCAAAATATGAATTTCTTATTATTATCAATATGAAACAGTTGTGCTGCTTAATTTAATGGAAACCGTGTTTAAAGTTGTAATGCTAAAACTCTCAGAATTTTTTTTCTAACATAAGAGCAAGCACAGCTATTTGTAACTTGTGCATGGCTTTCAGCTTCCAGTGATTATAACAACAAAAACAGTCTGTCATGCAGCTTGATAATGCAAACTGGTATTTGTTATATTATTTTAAAATACTGTTCTTAAACAATCCTTAAAGCCAAAGTATACTTTGGGTTTTACATGGACTTGCAGGTCCGCGTACAGTATGAGTGATGCAAATTTTGTCACCAGAATATAATTTTTTGTTACCACGCATACCTTGTACAAGCAAGTCGCATATGTGCATTGACTTGGTTTTGCAATAATCAGTTGTTCCACAAGGTGGCAACACTGGCCCGGCCCATCATTTCACATTAGAAAAGCAAAACTAAAGAGATGGAACAACAAAATAGCGAAGACTGAAACAACAACAGACACACACATTGACAAGCACTTGTGTGAGAGTGTTACGAGATAGCAGCAACTTCAGTTTAAAAGAGTACAAAGACATTTTTATCAGTCATAACTTCAGGAGAAAAATAGAGCAGACGCGAAACAAAGATGATTCTTTCTAGAGCGCATGTCAACTGCCTGCATTTGCGCACACTATCAAATGGAATATTTTTTTTAAAGGCTGCAAACTAAAGAACACCTTGGGCTTTAGTCACAAACCAAGGGTAAAGCAGTAGAGTTAAAAGCAGTCACAATAGTAACTCTCTGTAATTACAGTCATTATTAATGACACTGCTGTGCACAGCTCCTACAATTGAGACAATGTAACAGTGACTAATCTCAGTTCAAGCTAGGGATGTGCGCGACAACTAATTTGACTGTCGTTTAAACGGAAGTTTTGTATCTGACTAGTCGACTAGTCTAAAAGCAAGAAACCCCCAAAAGATGGTAAGAAAAACAAAAACTTTGTGCGTGCGTGTATATAATAGCCTACATTTGAAATACTTAATCTATGAATCACACGGTCAAATCCCTCAATGAATTCCGCTAAAAATAGGTTACAATTATGCTGTACGCTTGCCTCGTTTACACAGATAAAGAAAAAGCAAGCCAACAGAACCTTGGAAAGCGCCTGGACATCCCACACCACCACCGAAGTGGGTGTTCGTTAGAGGAATAGACGGCACGGACGGGATCGCAGCGGCGGCGGGCTGTAGCGAATGACTTGATTGACATTAGCTGACTTTGGCTAGTCTCTAAGCTAACGCCTACGTGCCTGTATTGAATAGAATTACGCATCGCTCCAGTAGAGTTATTGTAAGCCAATTTGACATAACACAGTTTACACAAAACTTTTCCGTTTCATTCTAATTCAAAATAATCCCACACCTTGCTCGACTTTCACATGGTCACTTTTGAGCTCGCCACAACTGACCGGAAAAAAACTCATGCGAGGTCTGAGGTAAAAATGTAGTTTACGCCCAGATACACTTTTAAAAATAATGTATTATTTTTCAAATGTTTTATTTTAACTTATTTAAAATGCAACAATGGTAATTTGTTACATAAAATGATGGTAACATAAAATGATGGTAATTTGAATATTAGACAGGTTTTTTTGTACTGCAATCGACTATTGTTTTCAGCGTCAACTAGTAGGAGCTGTACCGTTTAGTCGACTAGACCCGCACATCCCTAGCACATCAGAAAATCAGCTAATAACTTTGAATGACTCCCAAATCATTATTCATGATTAACTATGTTGATTTTTATGTCTGTTCAACTAATGAAAAACTCAATTTCCAAACAAGTTATTTAAGTGTTTTTAGAAAAACATGCCCAGAATTTCATGTTATAAAATGAATATTGAGGCACGGTTTTGTATGGCTAAATGGTGACAACGCAATCACAGTTGTCTGAGTCGGCTGTGGTACAGCAGGATTACTGCAAGATCTGCTGGTATGAGGTCACCTCACTGAAATAGACCGACATCAGAGATTTCCTCTAGAAGCCACTCACACTTCATGACCATCTGTGTTAGAGACGCTTCTAAACTGCTAACAACCCCAGAACAAACATGGCCATGTCCATGTCTGCAAACAGGAAATGTATAAATAATTGAGTAATGTGAATTAAAGAGAGAAAAAGCGCAGAGAAAAGAGAGAACAGCTGGGGTTTGTTTATTTCTGCTTTTCTACAGTGATAACCAAATTGATTTATAATGTTGAGGCCCAGCCATTTCTGGCCCTCTTTTCATTTCAGACAGAAAGGGATGTTGAGGAAGAAAAGAAGAAGAGAGAAAATAAGCATAAATGGGCGTTCACACATACAGTGTCGCCCGTCATTCAATATCAATGAGAGCTGGCGATTTCCAGAGACATGAGCAGCAGAAATAGTTGGCAATGCATTCACTTTTATGCCAATTAGTAGTAACATGATGCAACCACTACTAATAGGAGTAAAGATACTGGAGAAAACTTGATCATTATCTTCCGAGTGTAACTGTAAGAAAAGACAAAGGAAAAGCTCATGTAAAAATCACTGCTCTACAGTTTACTGATGCCATGAACAAATCATTCTGTCTACTAAATCAAGTCACCCCAAAACAATTTCACTGGTTAAAAAAAGTAAAAATCCAACAAAATTGCTTAGAATGTCATATTACATTCATTAATGCCTTTTAATTAGGGCTGTGCTAGTTAGCTTGACAACAGCAGTGGTGGAGCACCTCCATGGTGGTACAGCAAAACACATTTTGGCACATATTAATGTTTTTGACATAATTATTAGGACAACAGTGAAATACAAAGCTTTGTTTACAAAAGAAATAATTGGTTAGCAGCCAAATGTTACATTGAGACCAAGAAAACAACATAATTCATGCAGAGAAGGTACGTGAGCCCATAAATTTAAGCCTTTAAGCCATAAATGTAAAAATAGTTTTTTTTTGTATACATTTTAATTCCTTTGTTTAACCGTTCTATTTGATTATTAGACAGACGTCTATCCGTATTAGACAGAACAACAGCGAACCAGAGGGAGAGCGTGAGCACTGTGTGCCCAGGCACTGCCGTTCTCAGCGCCGTCAAAATAAAAGTCTCGAACGCATCGGCCAAACAGGAAAACTTATCGGCGGATGCCGATATTACAAAAAATGCCAAATATCGGCCGATATATCGGCCTTGGCAATATATCGGTCGACCACTAGTCTACGCAAGTGATTTATTGACAAATTAGATATTACTGGTCACACTGCACAGAGGCTATTTTACATAAAAATTTAATCTCACAGGTTTCAGTCTGGTCACATTCAACATTGTCACAGTTTGTGCTTGTTAGACAAGGTAAGACACATCAAGTGTATTTGTGCAAAGCCTTGGACACGACATGCAGGGGGAAAAAATAAAGATACTGATTTGTTCCCTCAGTTTAGTTAAATTGTGGCTAATTAGTTGTATTAATTCATTTCTTAGTTTTAATTTAACAAGGGAACAAATTTGAGAAACGTGGCAATGAATGAATACATTGTAGGAATGAATTTACAAGTTATTAATGTAAATTTTTTCTGGTATCTATTTTTTCTGCATATCACATGCAGCTGCATATCTCTGTGGTATAGCGCATTAACATGCTGGTAATTCAGATTCATTTTCCCCAGCAGCGCAACTTTCAATATAAATGTCCTGCTTGTGCGGAAGATATAATTCACTTTTCTGACCATTTACAAACTGTCAATTGCTTTGGAATATAAGAAGAAAATATGAAGATAAGGAAAAGAAATGGGCTCTGTCCTGCCTGTGTTCGCCAACCCTCTCAAAGCACAGAGCGGCATATATGATGAAACATTTATCTTTGTGCGGGAAACATAATTATACAACTTGGATACTAATTTTCTAATGCTTTACATGTTTCTATACATTTTAATGCAGTTTAATTTAATTGGAATATCATTAAAAGCCTAATTTGTATATTGTGAATACATTGTATGTATACAATCATGTAGTGTATTCCAACCCAAACATTCGGTTTTGCAACCAAATGCTAGCTTAGCCTATCCCTTGCATAAACATTAAATTATTTTATAATTTTCAAGAATAAAAATTGCTATATTAAGTCACATGTTATTGATAAGGCATTACAAACAGCTATTCTGTGGGGTCTGAATCAGATTCAACTCAACAGATGGACTGAACTGCTCATGACACCAGCAATGCATCCCATTTGAGGTCATATTTTCAAAGGGCGTGGGCCCATTAATAACTTGAGATCATCAAGCAGTAGAAATGCTTACTACAAATAATAATACATCCACTCTAGCAATAAAACTTCTGTACGTGTGAACGCCCCATGACAGCACTCGCTATACAGAGGTGAACAATTAAGTGGATTGGTCTGGCTGTTAGGAGAAAGGACGTAGTTAAGCTGTGTGAAGTAACTAACCTTTTTGTCACATACATCTCACTTTTAGAGAGGAAATGAGAGCTGAGGAAAAGAGACAGTAGGATATCCGCATGTCTAAAACTAATGTGGGTTTAAAACACATGGGTTGTTGGTATTAACATCCTACTCCAGGGGGCTGTTTCATAAAAGACGCTAAGAAAAGCGGGTATTAAAGTCCAAAACCTGACTTGAAATAACCTAACAAATCAATCGGGACTAAAGCGGTTTCATAAACGACTATTTAAGTTCACGCAATCTCACTAATTCGATCCAGGTTCAATGAGTCAGGATAATTTGATGTGCACGCTTATTCTTAAGCAGCCCTTAATGTCGATCATGGATCAAATCAATCCACCATGGCAAACAGCGAATATTTGTGCCGTTTAATGCATTTGAGATGTTGTGTTTCCCTCCGTGCATAACTGACACGTCACATATATATTTTTCATCTGTAAATGTTAGAAAGTCATGCAAATATCCATTTTGCTGTCAGGAGTGGGCGAGGCTTACGCGAGTAAACGAGCGCTGCTGCGTGCATGCACACTAAACAGATGGAACGCAATAGAATAATAGGGCAATAATTCTGAATAAAATATGCATTCTGCTAAAATATTTGTTGTTGGACATTAAATGTGACATGTACAATTTTAATCCTACATATTAGTGTATTTTTTATCATAGCAGTAACTGTAAATCAAATGTAAGCTACTAATACAGCCATACTATCTCAAATGAATTAAATGCGTGTTCCTCTTATCAGCTAAAATGTAGTCTGATTTCTATTCTTTATTTTCATTTTTAATCGAGTGGTTTTAATGTTCTACTAATCACCATAAAAGGTACAGCTGTCATAAAACCCAAGAGAAAGGCTGCATGGCTAGAAACTGCTGATCAACTGAATGTGCAAGTAGCAACTGTTAAAAATGTTCATATATCTTAAAAAAAAAAAAATTTTGCCACAATACATTAAATACAGTTAGTTGTAGCCTATTTTTTATTTATTTGATTATTTAAGTTGCATTTTCTGTATGCTTTTATTTTTGGACTAATAATAAAGTCAACTAATTGTATGTGAGAGAGTCAGTGGTAATATCAAAGCATTCCTATTGGTCAGTGTTAAAGGAGCTCAGCTTAGCCTGACAGTTAGCCTGATCCGGACCAGGTTAGTTTCCCAGCATAAGTTGCCACAGTGACTGAGCTTGACCTATGGTAATTTTGCTTTATAAAACCAAATCAAGTGAAAAGTCAGACTAACTGAAATAAGCCTGGTTTATTTGGTAAACTTGTTTTATGATTACCTGAAATGTACTGACATTTCAGGCTAAACAGAGGATGTTATGTCCTTTTCCTGTTTATAAACTTTACAAAAAACAGCTCTCATTAAATTAAGGATGTGTGATGGCTGCTTGCAGCAGTATTTAGGACTGCTCTGTTACAAAGAATAGGTGGTTAAATTCTAGTGGTTCAGGAACTGCACTGTACACACAAAATTAACAAGTTCAAAGTGTGACTGACACAGGAATAGCAAAGTTGCAGTTATAGGGTCCCATTTTATATTAAGTGTCCCTAATACCTGTGTACTTACATAGTAACTAGATGTGTACATAGTATGTAACCACAGTGTAAGTACATATTGGTACATAGCATCTACAGCTCTAATGCTTGTGTAACTACACATATGTAACAACCCACTGAATGGTATGTGCAAGTACAAATGTGTAACAGGACATTGGTAACAACACTTTTTGCTAATGAAAGTACAAATGTGTAAAAGGACTAACAGCGTTTTTTGGTAAAGAAGTGTTACACTTTGTATTAGATTTATCATGTAATTACTCTGATGTTACACAGCAGTGGCCAGTAAGTTAGGCTTCACATATAAATTGTGGTTGGTGTCCAGAATGTTACACTTTATATTAAACGGACAGTTCCCGAGGAGTTACCATGCAAGTACACTGGTATTACAGTGGTGCACCAACTCCAACTCAAGATCCAACTCCTCCCACTTTACATATCCCTAAACCTACCCATCTCCACCCCCTGGATCCCATTTCCACCCCTAAACCTACCCATCTCCACCCCCTGGATCCCATTTCCACCCCTAAACCTACCTATCTCCACCCCCTGGATCAAATGGTTCCAATTACTCATTTTTACTCATCATTAATTACTCATCCAATTACTTATACATACTGTTGTTACAAAATGTAGTTAAATATGTCCTGTTACACATTGGTACATACACAAACCATCCTGAGGGTTGTTACATGGGTGTAGCTACAGAAAAATTACAGCTGTAGATACTATGTACCAATGTGTACTTACAATGTGGTTACATACTACGTACACAATTAGTTAAGTACACAAGTACACCCATGCAAGTACACAGGTATTAGGGGCACTTAATATAAAGTGGGACCGTTATAGTTCTACTTTAGCAGCATTCTTGTTATGTGGTTTGTAGGCAGCGTAATGCGTGGTGCAGGTAGGAGTGTGTGTGGTACTGACCGGCGGGTGACGTGTGGAGCTGAAAGTGTACTGCACTGAGTGAGGTGGGTAACGGCTCTGCTCGCTACTGAAGGGCCCCTGGCTGGGGGGAAAGCCTGAACTAGACATGCTGCAGCTGTCTGGTGGGGTGCTGCAGCCTCAGACGCGCCCTGGAGCACTACTACTCAATCACGGGCTCAACGTTGGCATGACTGTGCTGCTAAACCACCTGAGGAAGAGAGAGAGAAAGAGGAGGAAACATCAGAACATTTCAAGAGCCAAATATTCTGAAGGAGTCTTGAGTACAAACTCTTTCCATGACCAAGCAAGTTTTTAAAGGTCTCAGATCACAAAGTGCGACCAACTGGCAGCCATTTCTATTGATGAAACAGGCTTTGTTTCACAGGATTGCTATGCAAATGTTCTGCTTGGTTTTCCAGAAAAAAGTTCTGGCTTCCTGAAACTAACAAGAGACATTTTGATTCTTATCACGCCCATGAGATTTGTAATGATGTTAATATTTCGACACAAAGCACATCAAAGAAAAGGACTGCATCATGTGGCATCTGTCTTCTCAAGAATTACTCAATGCTCCATGAATCGAACAAAATTAAACACTGGGCCGAAGGTGAAAAAAAATTTCACCATTGCATAAATTAAAAAGCCAAAACATGCTTTTTACGGTTTTGTCTTGCTTTCAAAAAAAATAAAATTACAAAACAATTTAAAAATATTTAACACTGAACATTTTTAACATTCTAGCAGACACTATACCAACAACGCACAATTTAACTTAAACTTAAGTTAGTAAAATAATAATTTTTGGCCATCAGACCCCCTTCTTGAATCAGGCATGTATTTATTAAAAAAATTTTTTACTGTACAATTAAAAGCAGCCCGGCTGAGAACAGACTTCTTTTAAAACATTAGAAAATATTATAGATCCTAATTTGAACACTGTGTGAATGTTATAATAAATGTATTAAAACAGAGCTGTTGTAATGATTTTTATCATTATTATGGTCTTATTTTATTTTACAGAACAACAGTAAAATTACAATACTAACATTTATGAATGTTGATAAGAGTTCTTGCTTTTTCTCAACTTTTATTGGAATCGGAAACGCGCAGGAAGACCTCAATGTTTATTTTTGTTGACAACAGATTTATAAATTAGTCTCATTACGAATACGTCCTATGTATCGCATTGTCACATACCTTGTAAAAATTCATAAAAATGTGACTGAGCAACTGATAATACATGCACAGACTGAGCAACTGATGACTGTATCAGCGCAGATTTTCCTCGCGCTTTGGACTTTGAACCCTGGTTAACAAGCAGATCTGCTGCGAGTTCGTGCAGCGCTGTCAGAATACATGCAATGCGCGCGTGTATTAGAAAACATAACGTTCTGCAGTTTATTTACTAATTGTTTAAGGCCATTTCGCGATTTCAATCATCATTCAGTAACCAGCAACAATCACCCCTTCCTCTTCTCATTGAAGACATGCGATGCAGTCCTAAACAGTCTCTCGCTGTCGGTGCTTGTAATGATTTTTGCGTCTTTCTCCGACAGTTTAAATACTTCCACACTGCTGACGTGTGTGCTGCATAATAAAGAGTGCGCGCCTCTCACTCTGCGCTGGTTGCTATTTGATCGCGTCATATCATTGTTCGGTACAATTTATTCGGTCTTTTCGATAATTTAACTTCGGTTGCCGAACATTCGTGCATCCCTAGCTGTTTTTTTAAATGATTTTTAGGCTAAAAAAAAATTTATTCACATACTTCACAACTGAAGGAACCATTCCAAATTTCAGTACTTAACAACAGCAGTGAAATTTCACAGCACCTCTATTTCACAACCTCTATGACTGATTTTCTTCTGTGGAACACATAAGATGATCTTTGGGAGAATAGTTTTTGACTTGCACTATATGGACATTTCTCAAAATATCTTCTTTTATGGTCCACAGAAGAACGAAAGTCATACAGGTTTGGAACAACATGAGAGTGAGTAGCATTTTCATTTTTGAGCGAACCTTTAAATATTAAATGTAAACATTAAAACAATGTCATCTAGTTCTCAATTATTTCTCAAGTAAACACTGCTTCAAGACCTTTGCCAAGTAATTATTAGCATTAGCATATTACGAGAGTATGCAGTAGACTGACTGAATGACACGGAAACAAAAGGATGGCTTATTTTCATGCGTTTTCTGTTAAACCCTAAATGCAATCTAAGGGTAACATGGACATGTGCGCAGCATTTGCTGACTCAGTGCTGTTTCTCGATGTAATGTCTTGAGAAAGCACACCTGTTGACCTTATTGCTCAGTGCCAGTGCTATCTGCGACTGGACAGCATCCACCTATCCTGATACACGACACATCAGCAAAATGCAACAACAGAAGATGCTACAGTAAACCACAGAAGCACAATCCACAAGTTTTCCATTATCATGGAAAACCTGTAAACCCAATAACAGCTAGGCTAATCCAACTTCTGCTCCTCTATTCAAGTCACGCATTAACATCAGAGCAAACGCTGAGCCATACATGTGCATGTATTACCATTTCGTTTAACTATTAGCTAGAATGCATTTTTTGTATATCCTCAAAATAAATATTTAGAGACTTTTTCATATCAGGTCAAAGGGTCAATAGCAGTTATTTGCCTTTTAGAGATCACGGGTAATACATTTATACACAATCCAGACCTCTGTCCCATCTACCAACACGTGAGTCTGTTTGCATATCCAAATCAGTCAGCAGGAATCTCCATGACTGGAGCGGGCCGACTGGTCCTCCGTTCAGAGTGTGCGTGGATGGGATTTTCCATACACACTTCCAAATGCTTATCTGTCGAGCCGGAGCAAGAACACGGCCTAATCAGTAGGAGATACAGCAGAAATATTGTGTGATATGTCCACGCTTCACTTTTATACCTTTTATACCATTCTTTCATCAACATGCACCTCCATCTTATTGCTTCAATTCATGCCATTAATATAACTTTGTCATCACTTCCCCACAAAATATGTCTAAATCAGGCTAAATCAAAAGCTATGCACAAAGTGAATAGCACTAAACTAGCACTGAGGCAGAGTTCACCACAAACTAAAACGTCATTTATTAATTAAACCTGACGATAAAACTAGTGATCGACCGATATATATATTTTTTTTATAACCGATACCGATTATTTGCATGTTTATGTGCCCGATAACCGATATGCAGAACCGATATTGATTTACTGTTATAAAGTAGATAAATGACTGAGTGAAGTAAGAACATACTTCACTTTGGTTTTTCCTCTTTTCAGTCATCTTTTCTTTTTTTTTAAAGTGTTGAAAATTAGCAGTCATTCATGTTAAAATTAATCGTCATACTACAACAATAAAAAAAACATTTTTAAAAAGCATCAACAGCAACAACACTAATATTAACAATAAGCTAAATAAATGTAGAATGTCTAATGTTTTCAAATGGAGAAAATAAATGAAGGACAAGAGTCATATCAACTTCATTTTAAACTACAGTTTTAGTAGGTATATAAGCTGTTTAATAGCTACAGAGTCAAGAATAATTAACTGGATAATGTTAATTTACTGAATAATATCCTCTGGAATACTGGAATATAACAAACAAAACATCATATTTTATTGCATTTCTCAACTGGTATGTTATATCAGAATTATTAATGTTTTTGTCCTTCTAGATTATGAAATGCCTGCTGACAGCGTGGTTTATCTATGCAGTTACACAGAACTATACTCAAACTGCGATCGCTCGCGGAGATAATAAATAATACATTTCTATAGAGTTTATTTAGATGTTTATTAGCGAAATATTGGTTATATAGTAAATGTTAATACAATTTAGGGTATTTTAAACAAGTGAATCTTGTTAATGGTTACATGCAGTGGCCGTGCTGGGGCATTTCCTGATCGACCGATATTGATTTTTTGAGTGAACAGCAATATGAAAGCGGCTTCACGAGTCTAATGATGAGTAAACATACAACAGAGAGAGAATTCAATTCAGCGCTTTTATTTCCAACATGCACTCATTCATGGCTGCATATTTAATTCAGGCAAAGTTATGTCTTTATTGGGACAGGACTTGACGGATTATTGTACATGACTCCGTGAGTTGGTCTCTATTTCTTAGAGCCAAGCTGCATAAACTACATATCAGGCATTTATGTAATGCATCTAATTTGTGCATAAATGGCTGTTATGTTAAAACTACAGCAAATCAAGTACCAGCACCATGCCGTTGTTGTCGTCTCGTCTCCCCTCAGATGCACTGCAATGGCGATCCTGCGCGCAATTCTCAAAACGTCATTTATCGGTGAATCTGATATTACAAAACCGATATCTGATTATGGTAAAATGCTTAAATATCGGGAAAAATATCGGTAAATCGATATATCGGTCGATCTCTAGATGAAACACTGGGCAAAAGCTAAATATTCAGCACAGGAGAGCAGACAGAAAGCATGACACTCCCACATCCTGCAAAATCCAGGATTTGTCAGAAACATCTGTCACACTGATATCATTCGGCCCCATCAACACCACTACATGGACATGATGTGTCAAGCAAAGACAAAACTCTTTAAAAAATATATATTAAAAAAGTAATACTGAAAGATCCACATTCACTTGCGCTGGAGAAGCTTACTGTATAAACTTAACTTTAAAAATGATGCTCACATTACTGTGCCACGCTTGGCCACAGACACGGCAGCACAACAGTTACACATCCTGTGTTCCACTCCACTGTCCCTCAGCCAGCACATTAGCCAACGCTTATAAAAACCAACTGCAATGAGAAATTGGAAAAAAAAACAGGCCTGGCACTCTTTACAGGCACACTGTATCTCTCCTGATGGCAAGCCTAATTAAGCTGCAAGAGGCACCGCAAACAAAGCTGGGTTCTTCTGCAGAGTCAAGATAGAGAGAGGCGTTTTATAATCATCCAACCAGCATTGCTCTGGAAGTCATCTATGAATTTTTACACACTAAACACAAATCAACCTGGGTCTGTCACCTTGAACAGAACAGTACAAAGTCTGGGCTGTAAGTGTGAATGACAGCAACTTTTTTTATCCCATGAAGTTATGCACATGCTCACTGTGCACTTTTGCTTTAATGGCAGTCTACCCTAATTAACATGTCTGAAAAGTGATGAAACCATATTCACGGGGTTTCTGCATGCTAATCGACATTTAGAGATCCCAGAAGTTGACACTCACCAACAACAAAAGTTGGCTAAAACATGTTACCCTCAATCTCATCAGAGTACCTTGCATCTTCCACACTCTACTAACCAGTAGGGGTGTGCAATATGACAATTTTTGATCGAGGACGATAAAATGTCTCTACGATCTGCTTTTGGAGAAATCTTACTATCGTGCTGCAGTGCATATTCTATCAGCTCCAGTTTTGGTGTCGCCGTATCAATCTACTGTACAACGTGAAATACATTCACATCAGTGTTAACTCAGAGGTAGGTACACTCACAGGACACTGCACTTATTCACAATCACAAAAGTACATTATTTGCTTTAAAGTCTTGCCGGTTAAACATTTCATATGCGAGCTGTCAGAGCCGACCCTCCCTATACGCAAAATATACAAGCTGCGTAGGGCCCGCGAAACACCAGGGGGCCCCCTTGCTCTCAAAGATAATTTAATTTTAGTTTCGTTTTTGAATTTGGCCAGCGGTTATGAAAGCATGAGTGATCATTTCTTTTAATGTGGTGCGCTGTCGCCCTTTCTACGTTAAAAGCAGTCAAATCATGTAATGTGAATGTCGTACAGTCTTGCTAAAGACTAAAAAAACGAGTTGAAAGGGTACCGAGCCGCGGAAGAGACACTATTTCTCAAGCGCTTTCCGCGAGCGCGATTCGAGACGGAGTGAAACAATTTACCTAGTAAATTATTTCCTAGTAATAATTTCTTTATTGTCCTAAACACAAAATAAGATATTTTGAGTAACCAAAAAGTAGCTGGTCCCAACTGAATGTAATAATATAATGTTCAACAGAAAAAAATTTAACTCATTCAGGCTTAAAACAACCTGAGAGTGAGTAAATGATGGTATAAAAATAAAACACTATGACAGAATTGACAGACAGATGCCAGAATTTCCATTTTTGGGTGAACTATTCTTTTAATGTTAATAAAACAACAAAACACCGAGAAAAATCACACACTGCTCTTGACGGAAGAACTTTAATACAGTTGCTTTCATAAGAATCAATGTAGAATTGATGTATATAGTGTATAAGTATATAGTTTTTCACATTTTATATTTGTTAATTCAATACTGCTAAATACACCTACTGTACCTGAAAAATAAAGCACTGTTTGTTTTATTCGTATTATGTTTATTTGTAATGTGTATCTTTGTTCTTATTTTTATTTTTTTATAAAGTTAAAATGATGACAAAGATTTTCATCTTCGCCCATTTTGGCCTAAATATCTACCATTCTTTTTGTATTTTATACTTTTGTCACCTTGAAAGGTTTTGTTTTTTTTAAAAAAAAGGGAAATTAGTTTGGCTGTACTGCTCAGACAACTTGCAAAATAGTAAAACCAACATGACAAAGAATCGTGATATTTCTGAAAAAAAAAATTGTGATATATTTTTGCCATATTGCCCACCCTTACTAACCAGTCATGAGGGGTTGGTGGTTGGAACTAAAATGCTGGAAGGTATTTTCCCTTTAATATGTGTGTCCTATTATGAACCCACTGTGAGAGCAAACAAATTGAGCTCTTATGCATTAAGTGTGTATAGGGGTGCTAAACTGAAAGGGGAAGAAGGGCAATATATGAATATTTAGATATACGTATATTACAAATGTTGTCTAACAGATACTTTCTTCCAAGCATGACATGTGTCATCAGCATGTGTGATCTTTAAGGTTGATAATTACAACATTACTCCCTAACAGACAATGTTGCAAAGAACGGTCATTAGTTGTGAAACATATCAAGTCCAAACTTTATGTAATTTCCAGGCATCAAAACTGACACATACATGGAGCAGGTTTCACATTCAGCACTGTTATTCTCGTTTCAAGCATGAATTTACAGACTGTTTAGTGTTTTACATGCAAGAACAGGATACCACATGTATGAGAAGTCGCAGGTCATGTGTTATTTGAAAGAGCAGACTTTATTAGTGATGATTTTCTGTAAACTCCAGGCTGTGGTATAAACTCACATTAATGGCGTTAGCCAGGAAGCTACTGTTAGTTCATACGAGGAAAACTATTTAACCGGAAACCACATACATAACATAAATGCCTCGGCTACACAGAGATCAACCAAATCATCCGCAAAAGAGAGCATCTAAATTAATATATGGTGCAGAATGAGACGGGAAAGAGTCTCAGGTTAGCTGTTCGCCGTTAGCTGAATGTTTCACCTTTGCATTCAAACCCGCGTCGCCATCTTGAACATAAGCGCTCAGTTCTCACTAGCCTGTGCGTAATTCACAACAAAGCGGCCAAAATATTCACATTAAATAATACACTCACCTCATGTCCTTAGAGACACCCCAATAAGCGCTGAAAGGCGAGTCTGTGCGGTTCAATCGTGCGGTAATGGAATTCGTCGGCAGTGAGACTGCGCGAGCACTCACACACAAACACAAACACAGGCTAGTTATTTGTCCTCACTGAGTCGTGGATATAAATTCAATTCGCTTTCTATATGATTCTGCGCCAGAAATTAATATGCGTCACAAGTGTACCGGTTTCTTCTTGTTGAAGGCTCGGTGGCTTGCATTTTGCGCAGCTCTGGTGCACCTGAGAAGACGAAGTGAAAGAGTTTTTCTCAAGCAAACAGGATGAAACGGTGTGACGTTCAAACTCTCCCCACAGGCGCCCTTCACCCCACCCAAACCTCAGTCTCCTTATATTACTGTTATACCAGAATTACAGGAAAGAGATGTTTCATTAAAAATCATCTTTTAGAAAAGACCCGATTCCCGTATTAATAATTGTTTTACATATGCTTCCGCCTTTGAAATTATTCCAACTAAGATATTCGTTAAAGATCATTTAATCAATTCTGTCATGCAGTTGTGCCTTTTTTGGCACATCAAAATGATATGCGGTATGTAGATTGGAAATAGAAATAATATTAAAGTATTCTACAACAACAGTTTTTTTTTCCTGTAAACAATTCGCTCTGCAGGTCTATAGGAACCATTGGTCAGGAAAAGATGTTCCACACGGACTCTTTCATGGCGCGGTCGAGATGTTCGTTTTCGTTACCATCGTATTTGTCTTTGTGGCTTACACTATTTCTATTAAGTTTGTGTATTACAGATACAGTCGATTATGGCCACACGTATGGAATAAAATATCCACCCCTTTATACACCGTTGGAAACGTGAGTTTTTGTCCAGCTCAAGAGAGGTCCAGCGCGCTCTTACGGAACTCAGGGGAAGCCAAGCCGCGCGTGACAGCCAGCGAGCCTCGAGCTCTGTTAGTCACTGCACATCCAGATGATGAATGCATGTTCTTTGCACCTACAGTCTTAAAACTTGTTGAATCACAAGCAGCTGTTTATTTGTTATGTTTGTCGACAGGTAGGTTTACTAGTCCGAAAATAAAATCATAACCGTAACCTGAATCGTTTTTCAGTTGTAATGAAAATTCTTGGTTATTTATATAAAAAAGAGAACATTTTTACCTTGATCTTGCAAATATATGTTGTTTAATAATGCAGTTTGTACAAATACTGTACTTTATGTGCTGAACTGATTAAATAAAAGAAATGTGAACTTCTGAAGTGTTTGGGATGCTTGTATTAAATAAAAGAGACACTTAAAATGTTTTTGCAATGCTCAGGCAATTACAACAATCAAGGACTACAGCGCAAAAGGGAACTGCTTGAGAGCTGTGCAGTTCTAGGAATCCCATCTGACCATGTCACCATCATAGATGACAAGTAAGGGCAGCACACAGTTTTCACCTTAAAATGTAAAAGCCTGTCATCATTTACTCCCAACCTGTTCACTATCATTGAATGGGGGAGAATGAATGTCGACTAAAACTACCTAAAAAAAAATTTTGTGCCACAGAAGAAATTAATATGAAAGAAATGCATAAGTTTGAAACAACATGAGGGTGAGTTTTTTGAAAAATATATAAAATTTTAACGTCTTCCTCAGAAATCACCTGAAGAACTTTTAAAATGGAAATCCAGATAATTATGCCACTATCCTAGGTTTTGCCCATTTGTCAGTAAGAATTTTTTACTAATTTAAAGGGGTCATATGATGCGATTTGAAGTTTTCCTTTCTTTGGAGTGTTACAAGCTGATTGTGCATAGATAAGATCCCTTACAATTTAATTTGCTCACTTCTTTTATACATTTGAATATGTACAGGTCAGAATAAGCATGTTGTTTTAATTTTTACATAACTATAAGTATTACATTGAATGACAATGGAATAGGGCTGTCCTGATTCGTCGATTTTATGCGACTATTCGATTTTTAAAAATCCTCGACTTAATTTTGCTTGCGTCGACTAACCGGCAAAATACCGGAAGTGGCGCATTTCACAGACGAGAATCAATAAAACACATTATTAGTCTGTTTTCCAAGGCTGCGTGATATATTAAACCCATTTAAAATAATTAAGCATAATTGTGAATTCACAAACGCTACGATTTAATTATAAGCGATGCAGTTCTAATACAGTATATGCGCTTTAATTATTTACATGTATGTAGGTTAAGTACATGCGTCACACAGCGGCTCCATTTACAGTAGTTCCACAGGAACTGTTATCATTTACATGTGTGGAGCCGCTCAAACTCCATCTCTGCATGTTGTTGTGAGTTTGGGTTTATTATAACGTTCATCTGGGAACGCAACATGAGCCATTTCATCAGATTTGTGAGGTAAATTATTTATAAATCTATGCAAACACAGGACAATACATCGCGGTTTCAAAATAAAAGCTCAAACCCTCACTCTGAGTTTACACGTTTTGATGTCCACATATTCATTCAATTACAGTGGCTATAGCATTTCTGTCCTAAAGAAATAGCCAAATATTAAAGATTAAGTGGACATTTGAATGAAATGGTGCTTGGTAAAAATTAAACAAGGATTGGATCGTACAGTAATGTGTAAAAACAATCGTCAGGCCGCTGGAGCCCTCTGCAGGCCTTTGTTGTAATGCGTACTGTACATTAGCTCTAATGTTTATAATACATTATGTATTTTAACAATTTTGTTTAATAAAACCATATGATTTCTTGCTTTTGATACTTTATTTGAACTTATTATTGCCTCATTGCTATTATATATGTATTTTAAGTTATTTTAAAGGCTCTTGTTCACTTACATCTATTTTTATTACCACAAAAAAATTTATTATAAATATAGGGCACTATGAAATCATTTTTTTCCATTTAAATTTTTCTATACTCTGTTTTAATGGTTAAATTAAATTGTATTAATCAAAAAGCCTGTCTAATTAATTGAGTTTTACAGTTTTATCTTTACCAAATTCTGTTTTCCATTATTTTCTGGATTCCATTTTAATGGTTCCGTTAAATTTTAATAATCAAAAGCACCTCCAATTAATTGATTTTATAAAATTTTTTAAATAAGTTTTTTTTCTTTTTCAGAAATACTGCACATTTACATTTATCTAAATAAATTCTGGTAAATAATATTTCTGGTAAATATTCCTTTAAAAAGTGTTTTTTGATTATAATTTTATTATTAGTAGACTAGAACACGTGGATATGTTGTCATTCTTACACTATAATACTGAACTTTGATTTCAGTGATTTGGAATATGAGATGGACACTTTATGTTGCACTTTACTTTTTTACTTTTGGATTTCATTTGGTTTAATGAAATATAGTTTAATAAAATATTCTTAAGTAAAATTGTTGATTTTTTGTGTGGGAAATTAATCGTTTAGATTAATTGATTAATTGATAAATTAGTCGATAGATTAATCAAAATAAAAAAAGTCATTAGTGGCAGCCCTACAATGGAACATTATTTCAACCAAATTTTGACATTTTATTCTTCAAAAACTTATTTGAAACCTTAAATGTAGACACTTTACTTGCATTTAATGTGCTTTCTATGGACATATAATCACTTTTGTAAACTTATTTTGATGCGGACATCTAATGTCTTTGACCCATGTATAAATATATATATATATATATATATATATAAGTATGATGATGCAAAGCTATTATGTGACAGATTCACAGATTTTCTCTCACAATGCAGTTGCTTCTAATAAATGAACATGATAAAAAAAAACTCACTTGATGAGTAAGATGCACAGCCCTACCAAGACTGTTCTTAAGAATATTTCCATTAAGATAATAAAGACAATACATCAGCTACCAACACTGACAATAAGCCCTACTCTATTAGTGGGGGGTTTTCATTAGTCCTCCGAAAATAAACGTTCAGGTCCAGTGCGGCCTTCCCCCCAAGGCTTTAGCCGCAGTGAGGACACCCATTAAGTGTGTACCACGCTGGGTCTGGCCCCTCCTCTTCTCCCCTGGCTGCCCTGTGAGCAAACAGTGGCAGGCCTACAAATGAAACACCCCCATTCTTGTCACAACAGAGGCACAGACAGCTCAAGCTGATGTATGGGTGCTCGCTCTGTCACCGGAGGACATAAATGACCAGGCTGGGAGACTAAAGAGGGTAGTCCTCCACCCCCCTGAGACCTCTATACTGACACGGCCTGAAAAAAGAGTCCATGCGGCAGGATTGTCTAAAATAGTCAATGTGATTCCACAATATCAGTTTGATGATGTTATGAGCTCCTTCACATCTGTGTGGTGTTATCTTAGTCACGGTTGAATTTTCAGTGTTTTCCTGAATCATCAGCTGTTTTTCTCATTCACTCTAATAACTGTCAGCTATATTACAGATTTCCAAAATACAGGCCGCCTGAAAATGTTTTCTTGCTACCCACATATTCCATCATTGCTTAACTGTGCCAGAGTCTGGCTGAGCTACAGATTGGCAGCAGTAGTCTTAAAGAAACACATATCAGAAATATGTAGTTTATGTGTATAAAGTTTGGGGTCAGTAAGATTCTTAATGTTTTTTTTTTTTATTTGATTTAGATTTCTCTTAGATTTCATATAAATTATGTTGTTTTGAATTTTATTCTTCAAAGAATGCTGGAAAAAATGTATCATAGTTTCCACAAAAATATTAAGGAGCACAACTGTTTTCAACATTGATCTTGAGCATTAAATCAGCATATTAGAATTATTTCTGAAGGATCATGTGACATTGAAGACTGGACTGATGGCTAAATATATTAAAATAGAAAACAGTTGTCATAACATTTCACAATATTACTATTTTTACTGTAAATAAGCACAGCTTTGGTGAACATAAGAGTCTTCTTTCAAAAACATAACAATTCTTAACAACCCCAAACTTTGAATTTGTGTAAGTGCTGAATGCCAGTTGTCCCGTCCATGGTTCAGTAGACATACACATAAGGATAATAGTGATCTTGACTACAAAAAAAAAAAAAAAAACCTTGGGCTTATCAGTGCTGTATTTTGCAGTGTTCTGCAACAAGGGACCTGGATAGATGAGTTTTGCGGGCATTCCCAGTAAAAGTATCATGGTCATGTGTTCCTTACATCCTCAGTGCCATGAGGTTAGTAAGGCAGATGCTTTTATCCAAAGCAACCTACAGGTTTCTTATTCCAAGGACAATCTAAAATTAAGTGCCTTGCTGAAAGCCACAATGTTAATGGGCTCAGAAGAAAACGGTAGACTTTTCTGTGGTGATTTTAGGGAAAAATCTGCAGACAAAAGTGAGTTAAATGGAGCTGTG